TACAGTTGCATTGCACAGGATAGTCAAAATGTTAGCAAGTGTTACCGTCCGAGGGAAGGTTATCTTTCTAAACATGGTTGAACCACACGTAATAGGAGAATTTTTTCTCTTGAAACACCGTTGAACAAAAATCAAATGCTTTTTGAGCTCATGTTAGGGGTAGTACAGGGGTAAATTGGTAAACCTTGGGCGTATCGAATGCCAAAATAGACGATCAAAGCGACCAAACCGAGAATTAGCAGTACACCAATTAAGATGAATGCGATTGTACCCGGATGCACTGTGGGGTTGGAAGAATATAACGGTGGATCTGTATTAGTAAAAAGTTCATTATTTTACAACTAGTAATTATGTTTAAATAGTTTTGGTTGAACGGACTATTGTTTCGTAAATGCGTGCTTTAGTACTAAACACAAAGTTAGCAATCTAGGATGTGAAATGTACTCCTCAAAAAGCGGCATTCAGTGGAATGCTGAAAGACGTATTTCTTTCATAACTGCTGATTTCTGTGCATTATAATCAACGTTGTGAAGCTGAACCTTGAATTTATGGCATCAAACGGAAGCCGTAATCCATGGATTTACGGTGGTGTTTGCACAGGCTACAATATCTCTCAAATTATAAACTTGTGCTCATCCGTTTCTTGCGAACAACATGAGGGTATGGTCAATAACTTTTCCGAGTCGAAACCATTCATCTTTTCAATCCTCAGTATTCTAGGCAATGTAATTCCCAAACAGCTAGTGAATAGTTCCTGGCGTGAATTCACAGGATCAATTTCAAGCGCACAACGACGAAAACGTTGGTCAATTATTTGTGGCACAAATATTTTAATATTATCCTCAAAAAATGTTTTAGTGATCTACTCTGGAGGAATCGTCACTATACTTTTATGATAGTGATGGACTGCACCATGTGCTCGGCCTGAACAAACCTATCAGAACTACCAATTTTGATACTCTTCTGACGACATAAAACTTTGAGCTTGTGCTTGCAATTATCAAGTCTATTTAGTGAATTCAATTTCCAAATCGACGGAGAACTATGGGAACATTCAGCCATCAATAAAAACTTCATTGTTTGTTTCAGTAGAGCAGACGAAAAAGTGAAGCGTCTGCATAATCGGATCAGTATTCTGTACACCACTGAGAATTGAATGAAAACTGAACACTGAATTTTCTAGTGAAAACTTACGGTCACAAACTGTTCCCGGAGTAGTGTCTTTACGTGCTATGTAGAACGAGTTGCATACACATTCGATACCTGATGGTTGAGTGATGCATGTGGCGTAAGATGAGCAAACACTCGGACTTGTTTCGCATGTTTGGGCCACGAAGGTCGCTGAAAAAGAGGGGTAAATTGATACATATTTCACTAGCTGGCTGCAATCTACTCCCAATGTCACCCATTTTCCATTTGAGCTTCGAGCTATACCAAATAAATAATTATGTGCACAAGGCCTCAGGCCAATTATTTAGAGCACGAAAAACGTATTATAATGCTTACATCAAGATATATTTCTATAATTCTTCTTCCTTGATTTTGGGCAGGTGATACCAGATACTATTTTATGGCCCCTATTTATCGTGCCCTTTAGCGTTAGTGTTTACAAGTTCCCAGTTCAGATTTCCTTTGAATCTTGCGGAAAAGCATGCCAGTTGAACGCACTTCATCTTGCCTCTGTTGCTTTGGAGGATTTTGNAGGATTTTGCCATATTTAATAGTAACATCGACAAAACCTTTAGCAGGGCCAGTGATCGAAGCAAACGCAATACGGACTGAACAACTTAGAAAATGCTCAAGAGGAAAATATACAGAAAATGTATATTTGGGGTGTACGTAAATCAAATTTCGGTACGTTACTAAAAAATGACTTAATAGGTAGTGTAAGCCTTGGTGTAGTAAACCACTCCAAACAATATGCAATGCCCATCGGCCATTGGTTCTTAAGAAAAGCGGTCGATTCGAATGAACCTAACTTGTATGTTTTAATCCGTTCAGCTCTCTATAGGCTCACCACCACGCTAAGCCTAAAGAGGCTTTACGAGCTTCCTCACAAAGTTTTTTCGAATTGAAGTACCGGGACGTATTAATCACGATAAATTTCGTAATATACCGAGCAAATCCAACGTGAAGTGAAAAGCTAGGATGGACCGGAAAGAATTCGCGCCGTGACTGGCTCTTGTTAGTAGTGCTAATCCATCAGTCTTAATAAGAATAGAACCGGAACCTCAAGTAGATAGCAAGTAACCAACCAAAATTACTACTGGGCAGTTGACCAAAGCGCTTTCTACCCTTCTCTATTCACGATGTGGTATAACTTGTCACTTCAATCTTGGATGTTATAAGTACTTTCTGCCTGTCGGGTTCCGGGTTTTACCTTTCTTGTGGTCAATGGATTCGCACCGATGCTGTAACCGAACTAGGTTGCTACGGCTGAACGGTTGTTTGAAGAATTTCATTTGACCTATTATCTGCTCTGTACGTGTTTTACTTCATCATGTGATGCGATTCCAATCTCCATTATCCATTTGCGAAATAAATGACGCAAAGCACACGAATAATTATATTCTTCGTCCTTTAATATACTTAGACAAAACCTTCGGGAATGCACAGCATGTTTGCGGTTTAACTCTAAATGTTTTTTTCCATCACCTTGGTTGCGACCAAAACACATTTTTCGCACGCTTTTCAGAAACTTCTCATCAACAAACTGTCAACTTCGCCATCCATGCCTACTCTTTCCCGTAAGTTGATCTTTGCGCATAAATTCACCATTCTGTTAGTTTGTCCCGATGTCCACACCTCGACGTCTCCAACTGTGAGTTCTAGTCGATATGGCTGGAACTTCGGTTTCCTTCATTTTGCCAATGCGTTTATTGAACTAAAATCGTTTTCCCTCTCCAACAAGATCGACATATTGCCTCCTCCTTGAACATTACTTGCAACTAACCCTATTTCGTCATTTCGAATGACGAAATTTGTAGTAGTAGTTGTTGTAGTGAAATCAATTGTGTTATAAAATTTCGCAGGCAGTCTTTTTGTGCCTAATATTGTTTTGCAAAGACAATTTCTCAATTTACCGAGATTTTAACAACTGTAAGCGTGCTAATTCTCTGTTGATTGATTACCCCCCATAATCATAACAGTTTCTACTTACACCAGAATAGTCCGATCAAACTGTCAGATTAGCTTGTGCTCCCCTCCTTCTGGATCATTGGGATCTATATATATATTGGGACTATATTATGCTCAGTACCGCCGAACTCGAGGAGACTTGATTTTGACGTGTCAAATACTGAAGAACCCAAACCACCCGTGTTGATCGCTTCTCATGTTATCGAACAATGTACACCTAAGGGGACACCGTTTTAAACTACTGATTCCAAAGTCTCGACTGGATTGCCGGCGCCAGTCTTTTGCAGTCAGAGTATGCAAATCTTGGGACGCCCTTCCATCTCATGTCGTTTGTGCACCCACTATTGAATCTTTCAAGCCGAGACTCGACAAAACCTTGGCACACCTCTCATACACTAAAGGCAAACGGAAATTCACTGTAGCCTACATTCTGTATCTCCTACCCGGATCTCTATGCGACTCCTTTTCCGATGTGTAACGATTCACCTGTGTAAACATCCTATGAGACAAGAGAAGCACCAGATTGTAAGCTATTCCCATAATAAAACTTTGGCTTTGGATCAAAAATTGCAAACGTGCTGATATCCATTTGAGTTTCAAAACTGGTTTTCAACCTGCTTTTTCCACAGCTTGAGTATCCCTAAATGTGACTGTTAAATACCTTGGTGTCATCCTGACCCAAGGTCATTCCTAGATTGGTCGTAGTATATTGAAGACACGGGTGCAGTTATTTTGATTTCATTGTGAGTAGTGTGCATGTCTCACTGGACCTTTTGGTTCATGGTTGCCTTATATTTCCCTTTCTTGCAGATAGTTTGAAAGTCCTCTCCATGGAGAACATATTGCAAGAAGTGTGTCCTACCTGTGTATTTCGAGCGCTGGTGTGTAGCCAGGACGACGCTATTTACATAAGAACTCGGATCGCGTTGCCTGGAGTCCACCTGCCAGGTTTTCGAGTGGATTCTGAGCTGTGGTTGGGCCTGCATACCACAGTAGCAAAATCATGTCCTAAAACGTTAGCGGACCATCTTGTATACAAACTAGCTTTTTGTGTGCTTGTGTCTCCTCACATGGTTTATGTTCCTCTCGCGTTTTTCTGGTATAATAACAAAAGATTATGCAGCGGTTTCCTGATCCCTATACCTACTTTCTTGATAAAGTTAAAAAGATTGCAAGCTTCCTGACTTTTGTTTGTAAGAAACTTGATATCGAGGATCATTCTCTGAATATAATAACTAGCAATGTTCGTAGATGAGAACCTCATCAACAGTGTTTTGTTAGCAGTCTTTAGTCCGAAGTGGCTACATTCACGAATATTGATTCTGTATTTGATATATATATATATATGTATATATATATGTATATATGATGTAGGTTCATGAACCCAGGATAGATGGAGGGCGTGGATTAGTCGCTTCTGGGAACAATTCGGGGGGCAAATGGTTAATGAAGATGGTTTCGACAATGGCCAACCTACGCATTAAAATTTATTTAAACCAGTTCAGAGGAAACTTATTAATGATGCGAAATGCTTCGCTTGGATTAACACGATAGCCAGTATCAACCAAATGGGCGAGAAAGTAATTGGACACAATCGTTTGTTTGAAATCACATTTTAAGTGCAAGTAGGGCATATTTTGAAATTTGAAACAAATATTATCGATGGCAAAACATGGAAGTTCGGTGCACTTTGGTTTGAAGATTTTGTCTTTATGCAAATATTATTCATTCACATAGTTGTTCTACCAGCTACTTTGTATGATATATAAAGTGGTGCCATGCACCAGCCGGATTTGATAGAAGAGACTGTAATTCAAATAATTCTATATTAAAATTTGTGATTTTCAAAGAAAAAGTGTCAATTACGTGTGGACAAATTCGTTGTTTGATGCGTTCAGTCTCTTGGTAAAAGATACCACTGTCGGATTCAACTTACCAGTTACTTCAAAATCGCTGGTTAACTGGGATTTCTGATCCGGTGGAAGCTGGTCATATCCGGTGTTCAATGCCGAAATAAGGTCAGTTGTATTCGTCTTGGCGGCATCAGTGTCCGTGAAGGACAACGATGTGACTCCCAAGACGTTACTTGTGGCAGCTCGTTTTTGTCTGTTGATTGCTCGCTTCCGGCGCGAAGTTAGAAGGGTGAATGCGAGTACCTCACAGATCGGCTGTGAAAGAGCCTTGTTCTTTCCTAGCTGCAGTAGGGCCAGCATCTTATGACACGAATAAAGATGATTAGGAAAACGATATGGGTCAGTCAACTATTTACCTTTGAGGCCAGATATTATGTATTACTATTAGTATTATCATGTATTAATTTCTTGGGGAGTGAATTAAGTCGATAGCGCAAAATTTTCTTCCATTGGGCTATTCGTTGCATCTAAGATTCCATTGGCAAAGTAGCCGCAACCCGTTCACAGGGGACGCCAAACTCACGTTACGTGATATCTTTATCGGAACAGATCTCTACTTGAAATGTACGTCACACCCAGCTTCACTGAATTATCTCATGTTGGACTGCTTCTAGTGTGGATTGTTTCGCTTATCATTCAACTTCTCTAGATAACTTAATCCGTCCAGTTATGCTTTACATGTTCGTTACTTTGAGTCTACTTGCTTTACACGTTCCCTTCGGATACACTACAAATTTAGATCACGTCTTTCTTTGTTGTACTTCGTCTTTCGGGGTTCCTGTAAGCCTATGTTTAATGACACAAAATGATCTTACTGTTTCGCGGACGCGTACATCAAAATAATAGAACCCGTTTGTTTTTTTGTTTTCTACATCTAGCCTAGACAGACCTTTGTTCCAATAGATTACTTATCAAGGTTGAGAACGGACAAGGAGAAATTTCTTAATTACTATTACTGCTACGATACAGAAGACTGACATTTTTAGCGTGGCCGATTGTACGGTGAAAGCCATACAATAGCAGACATTTGCCGGACACCACTTTTTATCTACAATCTAAATGTACGTTACATTTTTACTTCAGTACCAACGCCATGTGACGTTTTTTTATACGATAGAAAACTGCTGTATCCTTCCGCGAAAGGAACTTTCACTTTTCGCCTTCGCTCCGTTTTGTTTGTTATCGCGCTCGTTGATTCTCGTGCCTTTGTGCTTTAACGCAAACGCTCGTTAGCCGGTACCGGTACTTTCTCCGTGCCACGGTACCTCAATAAACGTCTACAACCACAAATCTTCTGGTTTTAACAGCTGTAACTTGGTTGTGTTGCGAGCTCGGGGTTCCCGGTCTGAAGCGCACCACGGCCGGTCTTAGTCGACGTCTCTTCACGTTCACTGACCGAATTCAAAGGCAAATAGAACACATTTCAGTATATACAGCTGAGTTCTAACCGCCCGGCGAGACGATGCACATTTGATGCCTTTGGCCAGACGGTTCTGAGTGGCACACCTAATGATGTTCTCGCTAGTACTAGATCGACTGACAGGTCTTTGGTTGCTCCACTCTAACATTAACTTCAAAGTCAGTCGTGGACTCTGTTTGTCTGGGGCTGCCACCGTTTAGCTTT